ACTAGATTAAGTTCAGAAAAACAAAACTCTTTGAAATTTGGATCTCATAATCGTCCAGTATGAATTAATTTTTATCTATATACTGATGAGCTCGATTTTGCAACTTAGATGTGTGGTTGTCATGAAATAAGAAACGATTTACGTCTTCATATAAATACATGTAATATTATTATTATTAAATCGGGGTGTGCGATAGACTTACCTCCAAGTGGTGCACTCTGGGCAACGTATACTCATACGGCAAAAAAGTCTATTAACTGGCATTCGACTTCTAAATTCAAACTACCATTACCCCACTTTTTACCTTTTTTACCTTTTCGCTGCATTTGTGTTCATCTGTCTGTCTCTTTTATATCTGCGAATCATTATTCAGCCCCATCTCTCGACATTTTGTCGCTTTGATGTTCCACCTCCTCCCCGTGATGCTCGAAATCAGCTAAAGTGATAATGCTAAATATCATAAAGCCTGACATTTGATTTAATCATAATTTATTTATATCAAATGACAGGCGTTCACAAATGAAGGGGGAGGAACATATATATAGACTTTAGGATAGTTAAGAGTAGTTCAGTAGTCAACTTCTGGCTTTCCAGTATCTCTGGGTCTTTTTCTCGTTGTCTTTAGGGCTGGACATCGTATCAGGTGGGTCTTCTCCATTTCCCCCTGTTGGTTACATAGCGAGCATGTTGGTTGAGCGTATGCTTCTATTCTGTGAAGGTGTATCGTCAGACAATCGTGTCCGGTACGTAGACTAAATTCAGCAACATCCTCTATTCTTGGTCAGTCGGCTATGTTAGAGAGTGCCACTGTTCCCTGTTTCTCCTTTGCTCTAGCTTTAAGTTCGTTGCACCTTGAAGTCTTGATTTATCTCCTGATTAGTGTATTTATTACGTGGAAAGACATTGGGCGGTCTATACCATACAAAATTTATTTATTTCAAATGACAGGCGTTTTGATAGTTATCATTAGCAATTCAGTTGACTTCAGGCTTCACAGAGAGGAAGGGACATCAAAGTGAAAAAGTCGAGAGGGGAGAGGAACAGAAGAGTGCTTCAAAGGTGTAAAAGAGACAGACACAAAGGTAGAAACAGGTGAGGTGAGTATTGTGGAAGCGGTAGAATATGATATACAGTGGGGTGATGGTAGTTTGAAGTCAGAAGTCAGACATTTTGCCGTTTGAGTATACGTTACCCATACCTTGCAAAATTGTTGAGTCCTTCTTAGCAACTGTGTCAGCACGTTCATTATCCATAATGCCATAGTGACCAGGGATCCATTGAAGAACTACTATTTAGTTTTTTCCTCTCAGTAACTGATACAGCTTTTTTGCATTCGTGTATCTCGGCTTTTTAAGTGGTTCTCTGTTTCCAATTGAATGTATTGCTGACTGGGAGCCCGAAAGAATTACTACTTCGGTGAATTTTGTATCCAGATCGCACAATTAGCCTAATGCTATCTTAATTGTCTCTATTTATCCTGAGCATGCGGCTCTATTTTGTCCCGCTGCCGCAAAGAACGAGAATAGTTCAGTAAGGTCAGTAAGTGCATTTGATCTGATGGGGTAACTGCTTTTCTGAAATAGTCGAACAGTTGGATGCAAAATTGTACTTCAGTGTCTGCTAATGGATTTTGGAGTAAAGAGTGACTTTTTGGTTTGTCAGCAATTTGTAATGCTTTCTTCAGTTCTATGGCTTTTGTATTAGGGCAAATGGCTTCTTTAGGTATCTTGGCCTATTTTCGTATGTGCTGAAGAATGCACAGTTGCTTCTCATACAGAGTCAAGACTTTCTCGTTGATAAATTAACATATTGTGGTGTTCCCTGTGACCAGGAACATTGTATCAATGGGTGATGACTTTATCCCTCTAGTAATTAGTCATAATGCCTGGTTGTGTGTCTTCTCGAATGGTCTGAGAATCACCTCAGAGGGTGCATTAAGTGGCTTACAGTAATACAGTCTTATTGGTTGAGCAAATATCTTGTAAGTGGTGTTTAGGGTTGAGTGTGCACAGCCTCATTTGCTACCAGGGAGGCACTTTAGTACTTTCAGTCTATTGGAGGCTAGTTCTGCTATTTTGGCAGTGTGGTTTTCCATGTTAGTTTTGTGCCAAATGTCACTCCGAGATAGATGAACTCGTCGGTTTATTCTAGAAAAGTATCCCTGAACATGAAATGTTAATTTATGCTGCAATATAAGTCATATTTAATCTGGTATAACTTGTGGCTAACTACAAAATCAAAATTAGACTGCCAAATTTGTCACCTTAACTAGTTGTAATTTAGCCATTATCCGCTGGTGTATTTCTGGAATGCAGATAATATACGGGTATGGCTCTTCATTTTTAAAACTTCACAAAAGTCTCCTCGGTTGATATTAATGGAGGCGTTCAACGGATGCGTGGAATTAAAAAATATTGAAGAATAATCGGTTAATAATTCTGTGCAGTTTTATATTACTGTCATTTAGTGATTGGGTATATTATAGACCATCGTACACGAAATATGACGAAATGTTAAGTATGAAGAAGTTGAATTACACTTAAGATCTTCGAAAGGAGACATATCACATGAACTAGAAGGACCAAAATTATGAAATTTAAATGTAACTATGTATCGTGAATATGAAATAAAAGCCTACTGAGATTTTCGAAACAATTTTAATTTCAGGAAAAATTATAAAATTATTGTTAGTTAATTTTAATCACTTTGCGCAATAGAAAAAACGAAGATGATATTATTTCTTTAAATAATATTCAAGACATAGAATTCTAAATGTTTTAGTTGCACTTTGAATGTATAAAGATAAATTTATAATCAAGGCGAATGAAACCTTGACACAGCATTTGAATTTGCCCGCTGGGTTTTGTTTGGGTCGTGTGAGTCTTGTATATTTTCCGATAATTCCCTGGTTTGCATGATCTATATGATAATCAATATTGATTATGTAAAATTTAAAAATTAAATTAAATTTTTCGTTAAATTGTGTGTTATAACTTTCGAGAAATAATACTATTCAGACACTGTTTAAATATCCGGTATGATCATGAGTCCCACTTTAAGGTCACTTATTGCAGATATGCAGCTAAATATTTTAAACTTAATAGAAAGCAGGAATTTTAATTGTATATTTGAATATAATGGACTAATTTACTGAAATGTTTTTCCATGTATGACTTTCATTATTGAAATTATTACTCTATGTGTCCCTAAAGTTGTAAATATAGACTCATTTTAAACCGAATCCATTTTATCTCTAAATATCAGTGTTAATCGCGATTGCGCCTGGAAATCTCTTTTATAAACTTATTACACAACGAATTTGATTAAATTATTTTGTGAATTTTCCATTATTAACCTCTCAGAGCTACCTATAGTTCTTGAAATTTAATGATTATTACGTTCTCTCAAATATTAGGATTTTTTCGATGACAATATTGATGTCAATATCCTCTACCTGGGTTAATTAAATTACCATAAAATAATAAACCAAACTTTCTTTTCTGTCTTAACGTTAATCAGAAATAATATTCTCTGTCATTTGAAAAGATGTTGTTTTCCGTTCCCATTTTCATCATGATGAAAACCATTTTAATTTTCCATTTGGCCTGTCATTTGCATATGTTTTAACTATTTTGTGGCCAACAATCGTGTTCGTATATGATTTTTTTCTGTTTTCAGGTTATTTCCATTAAATGTTGCGCATTTAACGTTGACCCAACAGTATGCATGCCCCTACATATTTTGAACTCACTCCTACAAATAGTCATCAGCAGACTGGTGTATATAATCCCATTGGAGATGGATCACTTCAATCACCTGCCGTTTCATTTCCTCCAGATACGCACACTCCGGTCTCAGAGCAGTTTGATGATATCACTTATCCCGGTTCTGAAGTTACTGTAATTCATCGCGTTCCTGGACAAGCTTTGGCGAGTTATTGGCGCCAGGATCCAAGCAGTGCCTTCCTACTTCATCACGAAACTGGCGGGAATGGAAGATTTGAAAACGAGAGCAGTAGTACCACACTTAGTTGTGCTGATAGTTATCAAGCCAATCAAAGTGCTAGAGAGAACGGTGTGACTCTTCGCGAGAATGGACTGAAATCTCTTCAGTCGGATCACGAAGAAGGGACGACAGTTTGCGCAGCTTCTCAAGTATCTGCTTCCACGAGGTGCAGTGATGATGATTATCGTGGTAGGAGAAGAAGGTCATCAGAAGGAGAAAATGGAAGATATGTTGTTGAACGTAGACACAAAAAATCACGCAAGGTTTCTTCTCACTGTCATTCCGAAAGTGAGATGGATGGAAGCAGCCGTGGTGGTAGGCACAAAAGACATCGATGGAATCGACGAAAAAGTGAAGAGCATCGCTCCCGGTCACCATCTTGCAACTGCGATTACTCCCATCGAATCTCCTGGGCACACGCCTTCGAACATGGACACGCAAACTCCCTTCCCACAATGAAGAAACACTATAATCGTGAGTCCACATCCTCACCGAACCTGAGAAGAAAGAAGCCGATTACAGGAATGTTTGGAGCAAATTTGGCAGCTTTTCGAGAGGAGGAACAGTGGTCGGATAGTGAGCAAATTCGATCTCGTCCTATAAATGCTAATTACTGCGGTCTTTTTGGTCTTTCATTTGTATGCTTTCTAGCAATCGGTTGTCTTCTATCTCCCATCTTAATGCTCATCATACCCATAGCTCTCTCATTGGGCAGAGATGCTACCATTGGATTTGGATTATCTGCTAGATTGCCCATTATGAACTCATGCAATGTTCGCTGTGAAGCTAATCTACTTTCAATATCTGTTAAAATGCTCCTCCTTTGTTTGACTACGTGGAAACTTTACATTCAACCGATTGCCTGTGTCTGTAAGAGGCTGGGAATTCGCCCGATGTCTGTGTCAGCTCTCCTCAGTCGGAAGTTCCGAGCTCTTGGACGTTTCAGCCTGGATCACTCTCCATTCGATCCATCTACACTTCATCCATACCCCTCTGCTGAACGACTTATTGGTTTGACACTCTCCGTAAATTTCCTGGGAGTAGGGGCAACCTGTGCCTTCTGGGTGGCTTTTGCTGCCAGGTGGATGAAATGGTTACTTCAACCTAGATCAGAATACCTCTCCGCGGTATCTCAAGACCTTCACGCGCAATTTGGATTACCCGCTGCCTTGGCAACACCTTCAGATATTGCAGATCAGGGTGATCCGTCAAATTCTTCCTATGCTAGCCTTGTTAGTTTTGTGCTAACCTTCACAGACACACTTCTACTGCTTCATTTGGTCGGTGTGACTTTGAGAACTTGGAATTATATAAAGGGAAATGGAAGACATTATGTGGTAAAAGTCATCAGATCTCCAGATGGTATCAGCAAAAGCTACAGAGTAACTGGTTCAAGTCTGGAGGTGGTTGCTACGCGGATTATTCAAAAGTACAATGTTGACTTTCCGGTGAGTTCCATTTTAAAATTTTAATACTATTGACATTAAAATCAAGTAAATCAAATCCCTAACAACTATTTCTCTCTTTAATCACCCTTCCTCGGTTAATTTTAAATAGACTGAAAGTCCTAATAATAAGTTGTTTCCAATTTACTCGTCAAAATTTAGGTTTTAACATGAGTCATTCAGTTGCTTTGCCCATGTTTTTACTTCCGATCGAGTTCACTTGTTTGTCATTATTTTTTGTCGATGAATAAGATACAGGAGTAGGGGAAAATTCAGTGGTCTGACTGAGTTGCTGTGGATTATTTTTCCTATTCGAAGAGTATTTTATCTAGAGGGGAACTAGTTTTAATTGAAAAGGTGAGGATTAGTCAGTGCAACATAGTGCAAGGTCGTGTATCTTGTCGCCTCTTTGATGCCTTGGGGGGAAGGGGGGGATTTTATGGTATCTTGGCGTCTGCTTTATGATGCCTTGTTATTATTATTGTCAAAATGATTCAGACCTACGGGAGTTATGTCCAGGATCAGGATTTCGCGAGCTTTGACTTTATCGCCTACTTGGCATTCACTTTGTTCAAGTTCTACCTTTTAGCTGTGTTTTTTTTATCGAATCCAGGTCCCATTATTGCCTGAGAGAGAACCTTTAACCAAGGACCGTTCTAAATCTGAATGTTCCATTTGTCGATCTTTGAGACATTTTTCAAGTTCTCATAATTAGAAATATCCTCATAGTACCTGATTAACATACTTATTGTGATTTATACACTGCCAGTACAACAAATGTCTTGATTCAGCTAAAATCGGAAGCATTGAATCGTTTATATTTTCATTGTGATGTCGTAATGTTCACGCGTCATCACCTGAATCCCAGGTTCATGACTGTGGTTTTTGTTCAGTATACGTTGAGCTTCTTGACTGTTCGGTTAGTGGTGCTATACAATTCATTCAATCGTTACACAAAATCAGGTGCACGTGGATGAGATTAACAGATCGCAACTCAAAGCAGTTCATTCAAGAAGCGAGCTTCTCTACCCTCTCTCTAACTTCTTTCTAAACCGACTTTCTGTTCGACTTTCTGGTTTTATAATGTACTCTAAGTCTTTCCTTGCCAAATAAACGACTTCTCTCCTGAGCTCAACAACTGACAAATTAGGTTTTCCCCACGACACGGATCTCCTTTTCAGAATATCACATTTTACATTTTCATGGCTTCATTAAGCTGACTACAGTATACGAAGTTTGTAGACATAATTTTATTAAAAGTGTGTCTGGTGTTGTGCTGTAGTTACAAGCCATTTTCTCTCCCGATTCCCTTTACACGTCCTTGTCTCTCATTTAATTAGATCTTTTCGTACATTTTCCAACAGCATTTATGATGTCTTGGGCTCTTTTTAAATCACCTTGTTTTCCAACCTTGCTGTCAAGGTTTTTTAAAGAAAGCCTGCTTGCACCAAAGTTCTTCCTTTTCTTCTGCATCATCATCATCGTCTTCTTTCCTTCCATTTAGATGAGTCGTTGGTAGTGCTGCCAACTTTTTCTTCGTTCATACCACCCCCAATTGATAGGGTTTGGTAAAAGGGATTGTTTTAATACACTCGACAACCACTTGACCACTTGTCTTAATAAATTGCGAGTACATTTCGGTATATTTATTCGTTTGCATACTACCCTTAATCGAAAACAGGTTGCGTAGTTGCTTTCTGTTTAAGGAGCTAATGAATAAGAAAACGAATCCTATCCTTAACTGCTGATTAGTTTTGAGTGTAGATTTTAAAAATGATAAAATGCTGTATATATCTTTTTGTAATCTAGCTTCTTATTCAAGGTATTTGTATTTTCATTTAAAGGCAATCTTTGTAATGATTTGATTGATGGTTTTTTGTATCGAGTACATTTGTGTTATCTGGATTATGAGAGATGCTGGAGCAACAGGACAGCTATTTTAAAATACGTGGTCGTAGGCAAAGCCAGCTTTAGCTCTTTTGATCAAAGTATTGCATCGGAAGATGTAGAACTTTCAATATAACATGTGCTGAGGGGTGGGGGGGGGGGGGGGGGGGGGGGGGGGGGGTAGGAGTTTTGTGGCAGCCTTCCCTTTGGTCTGAACTTTGACAAGACTTCATTCATAATCGTCATTATCGCGAGGACTTTTAAAAAGACAGCTTGTTTAGATATTACTATGAGTCTTCAAATTTTGAAAAGGCGATAATGGCCCTTTCTTAATCAGTATTCCTATAACAAACGATGGAAAGCATAAGTTAATTGAATTTTAAAATATGGTCAAGCACTCATCTGTAGTCTTTCCGACTTCTATTTCGCGGAACACATAACGTCTCTGCTTTCGGATGAACGTCATTCACTGTCTCTGCATCGGGTGTGAAATGGCCCTGAAGAACTGGTTGCTTTCCCACCACAATACAGTTTTGCTCGAGTTCTCCTTAACCTCCCTTGACATTGAACTTTTGTCATTTGTCATTTTGTCATTTGAACAATACGATCGTTAGGTTGGAGGGTTTCACTCCATTTTCCATCATTCAGCCTATTTTTGGGTATTTTCAGAAGTAGTCACTGTATAAATTAAGTTGAATTCTTTTCTTTATCAAGATTTCAGCTAATGTCCTACCCTTTACAACAACTACTGCCTTCCAACCTTTATTTCGCTTACTAAAGTTGGATTTTAGACTGTTATAGATTGGAAAAAAGATGCTTTAAATTCTGTCCAATCATAAAGTGTGCATTTGGTGTAGGTAGTTATTAAGACGTAAAATTTAATAAGCGTTCAGTTGTAATAAAAGAGCTTTGGAAAAATATTGTTACCAGGGCGTAAGGATTAATCATGGGAAACGAATCATCCGGACGTCTATATCTTCCAAAAGCTCCTGCTTGTATGCTCCATTGCCGCTTGAACACAATTTTTAATCAGTGCTTCTTGGATGTTGAACTGATAATCAGAGAACTTAATCCCATATGAATCGGTTCTAACTTTAATTTAAAGCCTTCCAGTCGCCATTTAGTTAGAGGACAGAAAAGGTAGTTCAATTGCCAAAGCAATTAATTACGCAATGGTTCTTGGTCAGTTTCGACATGCCCTGGGTTATTCAGTTTCATGTTTACCATTATAAAGTTGACAGCGCTTGGCATTTGTCAGTCCCGAATGGTGCTTGGAGATAAATCGCATAATTGACCTTTTCCAGAAAGTAGGAGATGGATTCAAGAGGTTTGAAAACCCAGACACACTGGACTGTCATTATGGGAGGTTTTATGGGTCTGCTCCACCACTTCGCTTTTTCCATCACAACAGCATACCTCGAAAATATTTACAACCACTTTTGGGTTTTGATTAATAAGCCGCTTAATCGATGAAGATCAAGTAAGTATAGGAATGATGAATGAACTTTTGAATTTCGAGATTGGAGTGTTTATAGAGCGTTTTTATGCTGGGGTTTTGACACCGGAAAGAATAAATGGGTGTGCTATATTAAGAAGGCTTGGTATTATCGTTTCTCCCCCGAGAATGAGCATCGGAGGGAGACTTCATATCTGCGAAGTCAGATGTCAAGATGTCGAGTCACTTCAGTACAAATCAAACAATTCTAATGACCTATAGTTAATAAAGGCTGATCGAACTTAAGATCCCTAATCAGGGCAATGATAAGTTATCTTATTTCTATACAAAATGTGTACTGGAATGCATTTCTCGCCAATAAAGTTTGGGATCTAATTGGACTCTCAATATCTGCCCCCATAACACCTCAAGGTGCCTTTTGTGGTAATATCGTGGGCACAATTGCCCAGACTAAATAGGAAAATGGCCTGGTTCAACGTTAATATTTATTTATTTATATCAAATGACAGGCTTTTTGATGGTTATCATTAACCTTTTAGCCGACTTCGGGCTTCACAGAAGGAAGAAATATCAAGCTCACAAAAAGTGGAGAAGGGGAACAGATGAGTGATTCACAAATGTAAAAGGGAGAGAGAAGGGTAAGGTGAGTACTGCGAAGAAGTCGAATATGACATATAGTCGGGTCATGGTAGTTTGAAGTCAACTTCCGGTTTATAAACTTTTTGGGCACCGTATGAATATACGTTGCCCAGGGTGCACCACATGGAGGTAAGTCTATCGCACACCCCTCACGTTAATATAGGATTGCTGAAGTTTCATACTCAGGTGCGCGGATTATAGGTGGATGGAAAATGACTCATTCTCTCGTTATACCTAAGAAGCACATGTTTGCGCCTGTTAGTACTAGTGGCCAGATTCGCGTGTACGCTTAAGTGCAGAGGTGTGTGATTGCTCGCACGCGGAAGTGCGTCCGTGCTACTGTGCTAATGCGAAAAGCGAAAATTCATGCATTGATGTTGTCGGATGTTGATTGAGAAAAAAGGCACCAGGACAAGGAGGGGTTGTAGGCGGACTTCCGAAGACCCTTTGAATGTGTCATTTCTCTTTTTTTCTTGTTCAGAGGCATGGCATTTTGAGGGCTGCTTTCTGTATAAGCTTTGTCAAATTTTCCCTTAAAGAGCTTTGCGCTGTGATTTTATGTGCAAAATAAGCGATTATTCCATTCTTAAGGAGAAAGAGGAGGAGGAGGAGGAGGAAGGATTTGGATGATGTATACAATCGAAGTACAAATTGTTGTCGAATTTGCAGTCAAGCTAATCGATTTTATTATAGAATGGTAACAATTTTTTTTGATTAAAGGGAAAGAAAATGAGTTTAAAATCCCGATTGAATTTAAACCTCTTTGAGTGAATGTGAAGCTTCTGTGTGAATCAGATTCAACATTTTTACCATTTTAACACTAATTTAGGAATCAACTCAGTTCATTTTCCACCATTAATTAACAACAAGTTGCTTCAAGATTTCGCTAATTACAATCTTTTTGTACAAAGTAAAACAATGTACCAGTGTTACAAATATCCAAAAAATTCAAAATTAATTGAAAGACACTTGGCAAATCGTGTGCAAACTCCAATCTTTTGAAATTAAAAATTGTTTAAAGTTAAATTCCGTTTCACTTATCTTTATTCACCTATTGCTCCCTTCATGACCCTTTTCAAGTTTCAATCCAAGTTTAATATTTATAAACCGAATTTGAATCAATAGAGGGAAAAGCTTAACTCATTTTAACAACTACCTTTAATTTTTTAATCTACTTTGTATCAAATAAATGCAATTTTCGCAATCTTGAATTTATTTGTTGTTAATTAAAGAAGGAAAATTGGTTTTGCTTTGAAATTTTTACTCAAATCTAGGCTCCCTTTTGATTGAGAAAAGTAGGTCAAATCATGGATGCTTTTTGTCTTTTTGAGTTATATTGGAGGTAAGTAAAATGTTCACCGAGGGTAAACATATTGGAGCAGTTGTGTCTTTGAATGCAAAGTATACTACTTGACAGTTCGATGAACTCGATGGTTCTCATCTCGTTCGAGATATTCGCAAGTTGATGCCTCACGGATGTGTGCAGTCGTTAAATGATTAATTTGGGATTTCTTCTCTCGGTGACATTGAGGTCAGGGTCAGTGCTTTCTCTCTTAGCCCCCCCCCCCCCCCCACCTCCCACCACCTTCACTGTGGAACATGCGCAATTACCCTCGATTCGTCACTTTTATTGCATCACTGACCGTTGCTCTCGTGTTCCCGTAAATTTATGACCATCAGAAACAGCGTGGAAACACCAATCGGACAAATGTTGATACAACTGCTGTAGGCTATAAAGTGAATGCACTTGGCTTACTTAACCCAAAGACAGCACCCATATCCGACGGTTTGAGGTCTATCCTAGCAAATTCAATAATTCTAACGACCAACATGCATAAACATTAGGTGGGAATTGTGTTTGGTTTTGCGTTGATTGATATTGAGTTCACATTAAAAGCATATCTTGTTCCTCCAACCCTTAAGATGAGAGTGGCACTAAATCTCTTCATAATTTTTCGTTCTACAATCAGGCGCATTAGAACTGAATTGTAAAAGTTTATTTTATATCAAATGGCGGGCGTTTTGATAGTTATCATTAGCTCTTTGGTTGACTTCAGGCTTCACAGAGGGGAAGGAACATCAAAGTGAAAAAGTCGAGAAGGGGAGAGGGAGGAACAGAAGAGCGTTTCAAAGATGCAAAAGAGACAGACACAAAGGTAGAAAAAAGGTGAGGTGAGCGCTGTGGAAGTAGTCGAATATGACATACAGTGGGTTCATGGTAGTTTGGAGTCAGAAGTCAACTACCGGTTAATAGACCTATTTGCCGTATGAGTATACGTTTCTCAGGGTGCACCACGTGGATGTAGGTCTATCGCACACCCCAAAAGTAGACCATAATGAAGTGTAAAGTTGGGACAGCAACCGGACCTAAAAGAGAAATCTCGGTTACTTCTTGTTTAATTTCTCAACTATATAGAAGGGTGGATTTCGAATGTTTTATTTTTGCTCACCAGTCGGAGCTATGTGCTGGAAATCGTTTGTTCTCTAACTTGGAGCCTAATATTTCCCGACTGATTTCTTAATTTACTTTAATTTATTTTTAATTTTTAATGTACAACGATACTTGTGTGAAAGACTCAATCTGCTTTTTACTCATTTCAAATGGTGTTAGTTTGATTCTTATTGGTGTAATCTAACAGTTTTTGATTGGTTTTTTTTTAAGAAAATAATCCATTTCGCCAAATCGAACGTTGGCCAATACTTTCCGTTGCAAACAGTCTGCAAGTGGAATAGCGGTGAGTATGCACATCTTTCAAATCCGACGTTTAGAGAAAGGAAGAGCCAATCGATTGATCAATATCAATTAAGGGAAGAATTTGATGGTTCTGAAATGTCTCTCTTCATCGTTCATTTATTTCTTGCCTTCATTATAGTCCCCAAGTCAATATCGTCTGCCACCTCCCCAATAGCTTATTTTCCACAAATTAGACCATTTTCTCAGAATGAAAGTTTACTTTGACTGATTTTTTAGTCTGCGAATGGAGATGAAAAGGAGCTTAGAAATTCCCAGGCGAATTTCCACATTACTTTGAATGTTAATTTATGCTAACAACAGATAGTATGTTTTGGAATTCTGTCTTGATAAATAAGTCCGCTGCCAGAATCTGTCTCAAATCGAAAATATTTTCTCACTTTGATAAATGTGCACTTATAATTGATGAGGATTTTCCCTGTAATTCCACAGCTGCTAATTAACGTCTGTTTAATTCGAGAAATTGCTCATCACCAATTGGTTGTTTGAAATTTGATGCCAATTTCTCGGTTCGCTAGACCAGATTGGTGGTATGCGATATTGTAAGGTGGCAAAGGTCTTATGTCATTAGCTGTTTAAAATTATGCGAAGATGTATTCGAAATCTTCCCTAATTACTCCTTTTGAGATGAATCATGCGATCCCCCTCCACACCCTCTCCCATGTCGATTTTTGATTAAACTATTTGTGATCTTGAATGTCGGACACAATTATCATATCTGTTTGATCTAGTATCATTCACTCAGGGACGAAATTTAAATTCAATAATTTGTGTCTATGATTTAGTAAATATATTTTTTGAAAATTTACCTGAATACCGAAGTTAATATTTATTTATATCAAATGGCAGGCGATTTGATAATTATCATTAGCCCTTTAGCTGACTTCGGGTTTCACAGAGGGAGGAACATCAAAGTGGGAAAAATTCGACAAGGGGGAAAGGAAGAGTGATTTAAAGATGTAAAAGAGGCAGACATAAAGGTAGAGAAAAGGGTAAGGTGAGCACTGTGGAAGAAGTCGACAATGACATACAACGGGGTGATGGTAGTTTAAAGTGAGAAGTCAACTGCCGGTTTATAGACTTTTTTGCCGTATGAGCATACGTTGCCCAGGGTGCACCACGTGGAGGTAAGTCTATCGCACACCTCCCGAAGTTAATATAATTAACTCACGAGTTTTTTGCCTAAATCTCAGTATTGTTAAGGATGAAACCAATTGTTTGTGCGTCAAGGCTCATAAGTGTGGAAAATGTCTAATGATATTTATTTCCTTGTTTTACTCAGCTAAAATTGATTACTTCAAATGCATAAATAAATTATTCAGAAATTTGAGAAAAGTGAATCTCTGTTGATTGCAATCTTGAAGTAAAAATAATGCTTATTTTCCAGCTGATTATATTTCTGGTCATGCTTTATTCATTATAACCCCAAACACTGCGACAAACCTATCGTGATCATGTAGGTTTATGAAAACTGTAGATAAGACCCAGGAAAGGGGAAGATTTGTGTGTTATTTCATATTTTATAATAAAAAATTAAAAACAGACCTTATTTATGTATATAAAGATGATGTATTTAGCTTTCATTCTTTTTTTCTTCATGGAATGTGCAGGTGGGGACTTCACGTAGCTCTGTCCAGTTGTAAACATTGTAGGAAAATGCTATTTCGATCAAATGGATTTTATATATATATATATATATATATATATATATACTGGCGTAATGGTAAGAAGCATGTTTCCCTAACCTGGTTATTATTCATTATTTCGCTCCAGGCTGCCGATTTATTGTAAAGCGAGTACTTTTGCGTATGGTACATCTATCATTTTCCTTCATCGTCTTTGGAGGGGGGGGGGACTTCTTAAGCATTCTTACCTTAACCTTCTAATACAGCTTTTTGTTATCTTTCTAACATTTCTGTGGGAAAAATAAATCCCCATGTCAGGTGTATTTGAGGTTATCTAACTCAAGTACTCTCTTTTGGATTTGTTGTTGCGAATAGAAGTGGTCGTATATCTAAAAAAACTTGTCCAAGTGTTTACACGTAAATCTCTTATCGCAAGATCTCCACTTGTTGTTTAGATGACGATAAACGACTTGTCTGATAAATTACATTACAATTACAGTAGCCGGTTTTAAATCTCAATTAGGAAGATGTTCCTCTTGTAAGATTGGCCGAGTAGTTGCTTTATCGCAGGATATTTCTTTTATATTTAGTTATACGATGCTCAAGTGGCAAGCGCATCTTACCGCTATATTCAAATATCTCCTGACTCGCCAAATAATGAAAGCGCTAAGGCTTATGCCCGAAGGGCCTCGGTTCGATTACGTCAGAAACTTGCGTCCTTCTCCTGCCTCACCCAAGAAGAACAAGAATTCCAAATGAAGAGGTGTAGTAGCGCAGGTGGGGGAAGTTCATTCAAATTCTACTCACTCGATGGACCGGAGGCTTGTTCGACCGCAGCTGAATCAATGACGACCTTGAAGGGGGATGGACAAAATGATGGCGGTGGAAGTGACAATGGACGTAATGTGAATACGCTTTGCGCCGATCGATATCGCAGTGAAGCAGAGTATGAACGAGTGCTGAAGAAGCGGCGAATGCGTTTATTAATTGCAACAGAAAAGGCTTTTGCGGGGGTGGAGGCGATGTCACCCGAAGAAATTCGCGTGCCTGGACACAATGGTAAGCGCATGGTGCTTATTGATCGATCGATTTTTAAGTTGTCTGGAGAAGATTGCACTGGCCGTTTGTTTGTATATTTCGAAGGAAGAACGCTGTTTACAGCATTGGAATGATTTGCTATCAAGAAGAAAATAGTAATAATAATAAAAATATGAAATATTTCCCCTTGATAAATTGTCAATAATACAAAAAATTTCTTTTTAATATTACTATTAAAATATTGTTATTTTTATTTTAATTAATGCGCATTATATCATACTGAACATAGCTTGTGTTGAACGAGAATAAGATTTCGCTTTCACAACGAGAACTGGCGTTTTCCATTCTCTCCTTTACAGCTTGAAATAAATAAATAATTAATTTATGAATATATTTAAAATGTGTTATTATGTTAAAATTTAATTATAATTGAGCACTTTCGACTTCTTGCGCATACTTATATGCAGAAAACTTAAGTTATGATCTTATTCAACGATTATTTCTCGTCAAAGTCTCGTCTAGCTTGAGTATTAGAATATTTCAGCGGTTTAAAATTTTAAGTTAGTAAAACAATACTCAGATATATTAAAAGTTGAAAACCAATGGATTAGAAAATTAGGAAATTTTGTTGATAGGACTTGTGACCTAAACTTCAGCACTATACTTTTATTCAAATATTGGGTGGTACCAATTTTTAATCCAACAAATGATACTTTTCTATCACATTCCACGCGAGTATTAGGTGTTCAAGTGAATAATAATTGCCTAAAATATCTTCGTTTGCTTAACTGCCCCTCACAGATGTCATGAAGATTCGAACGATGCGACCAAGCACCCAGTCAACTTGTCAAAATGCCTCTGGATATAAACCCGATCATGTACTTTGGGAGTCAGACTGTGAAATTTTAATGTTAGGACCTTGGAGTTTGAAGCATTACTGATTCCAGAATAATTGTGTGCTTCTCATGCACCTTCCCCTGTTTTATTGGGTTGGCAACTAAGTCATTGTCGTTTTTGTTGACGGATTCACTCTATACTTTCTTTTGTTTTGTTAACGTGGCCAGAGCATCTAACCTATATTTTTTCTTACTGTATGGGCTTCTAGGTTAATTAGTAAAAAATTTTTTTGTTTAGTTCTTCAGTTTTGTTTTTATCCCAATTTAAAAATGAAAGAACAGGACGTGTACTTCCTACACATTTTATTGTATTACTTCCGAAAAGGCAAGAACGCATCGCAAGCACAAAAGAAGTTATGTGCCGTATATGGAGATGAAGCCTTAAAAGAAAGGCAGTGTCGAAATTGGTTTGAAAGATTTCGTTCCGGTGATTTTTCACTGAAAAATTCACAACGATCTGGCCGCCCAGTCGAAGTGGATGAAACCCATATCAAGGCCATTATCGATTCAAATCGTCACAGCACAACACGAGATATTACAGAGAAGCTCAATGTGTCGCATACATGCATTGAAAAAAAAATTAAAAACCCTTGGTTATGTCAAGAAACTTGATTTATGGATCCCTCACCAGTTAAAGGAAATTCATTTGACGCAACGGATTAGCATCTGTGATTCGCCGCTACTGAAACGCAATGAGAATGATCCATTTCTGAAGAACCTAGTTACTGGCGACGAAAAGTGGATAGTTTATAACAATGTTACTCGCAAGAGATCATGGGTGAAGCAAGATCAACCAGCCCAAACAGTATGAAAAGCAGAGATTCACCAAAAAAGATTATGCTGTCAGTCTGGTGGGGGGATCACAAAGGAATTTTGTATTTTGAACTCATGCCGCAGAACCAAACGATAAATTCAAATGTGTATGTTGAACAACTGGAAAAACTGAAGGATGCAATTGAAGATAAGCGACCGGCATTATCAAATCGGAAGGGTGTTGTTTTCCATCATGATAACGCAAGGCCCCACACATATTTGGTTACTCGGCAAAAATGATTGGAACTGGGTTGGGATGTTTTGTCACACCCACCATATAGCCCTGACCTTGCGCCTTCGGATTACCATTTGTTTCGTTCCATGCAAAACTCTTTAAATGGTAAAATGTTTAACAACGCGGATGATGTCGGATCACATCTAATTCAGTTTTTTAATAGCAAAGACCAGATATTTTACGAAGGGGGAATTTTTACTCTCCCAGAACGATGGAAAATGGTAATCGACAAGAAGGGCCAATATCTAATTGAATAAAGTTATATTTTTAAACAAAAATTCCGAATTTGCCTTCTTATTTGAAATCGGCAATGACTTAGTTGCCAATCTAATATATCTCATTCCACTTATGTGCTGCTTAATAGAATGCTTTCTCGTTGCTAAAACGTGTTGCTTTGCCATAAGCAATAGTACTGTTGATGACGCGAGACACACTTCAATTCCTATTTTCGAGAAGAGGTGTGTGCTCTCACCATCTGAAGTATGGAAAGAGCTGTACCGTACTCATCACGTCGGCGCCATCAGTCTGCTGTGAAACTCATGTGAGTGCAGTTGGGCGCATTTTTTCAAAAAAAGCAGTTCGTACTTTAAAGGGCTAATGCACACACACACACACACACACACACCATATATATATATTCTTTCTGACAACTGCAAAATCGATTAACGACCAGATTTCGTCACCAATGACCGTAAGCAGCAATTCTGAGCCAGACACCGAAACAACAGCAAAGTCAATAAATTCACAAATTAATCTCTCCTACTTCAAGTGAGTCACACGCGCTGAAGCACATGACAGTAGCAGAAGTATGCTAAGTCGTCTCTCTCTCTCTCTCTCTCTTGCATTCACTGATGTAGCGTCGGACTTATCTACGAAAGAAAAGCTGGAGGGAAAAAAGGAGGAGCAAAATCTTCAGGAGAGGAGGAGGAGTTGGGGGGGGGGGGGCGGAATCCGTGTTGTGTGTGCGTGTGAATCAGCAATTAGACATATGTAAACACACACACACACACACACACACACACACACACCTACGCTTGGGACTAATTCTCAAATGGATGGAATTTTTTGCTGGTAGCAGCTAATTCGCTCCAAAATAGTTGTCATTTTCCTCTAATAAATCTCTTGCCAATATTAATTTTCATAGTACATATTTGACGTGAACTTTCCAAGTATCCCTCATATTTTCTATTTGCCATTCAGTCCCAACATTTGACTTCGTGTTTGAGGGGTAGTGAGGGAGAGGGGGGGGGGAAGGGGGAGGGGTTACAAATGCCTGTTTCTGTCTAATTTCTTGATGATCGTTAAGTCTGTATTTGCTAGAGTGGAATTTTATGGCGCTAACACCATCTGGACACTGGTCTAAGAATATTTCTAACTAACTTACTGACAAAAGTATATTAATTTATTTATAAAATTAGTGTTTTATATCATTTCTGACCCACAGGAATTCTGAAAAGTTGTTTAATTATCATTTCCACAAAGCGACTGTAATGTTTAAAATGGAATAAGGGAGGGGAAGGGGGGGGGGAAGAGGTTCTCGAAATGAGGACATTAAAGGAACTACTTAACCTGATTTCCAAATTCAGACCGAAGATTATTCATTTCATGGAGATTTTATTATTCGCCTCCCAATATTGTTTGTCTTGCCATCTCAAGTCATTTGTTCCCTCAAATGCCGAAAAAACAGCATTTTAACTTAATCTTGGTCGCATTACATGCTATCAGCAGAGGAGAGTTCATTCAGATTTGACTCCAGTACAATTTCACTAATTGAAATATTTATTTATTTCAAATAGCAGGCTTTATTGTAGTTATCATTAGCCCTTTAGTTGACTTCGGGCTTCACTGAAGGGAGGAACAACAAGATCAAAAATGTCGAGAGTGGGAACAGAAGAGTGATGCACAAATGTAAAAGAGACAGACAGACATAAAGGTAGAGAAAAGGTGAGGTGAGGTGAGTACTGTGAAAGTGGTGGAATATGACAAATAGTCGAGGTAAGATGAGTACTGTGGAAGGGGTCGAATATGACATACGGTTGAGGTGAGTACTGTGAAAGTAGTCGAATATGACATACAATGAGGTGAGTACTGTGAAAGTGGTGGAATATGACATACAGTAGGATCATGGTAGTTTGAAGTGACAAGTCAGCTGCCGGTTAATAGACTTTTTTATCGTATGAGTACACGTTGCCCAGGGTGTATCACGTGGAGGTAAGTCTATCGTACACCCCCTAATTGAAATATAAATGCTAAGCTAATAAGAGCATTAATTGCGAACTTTGGAAGATGGACCCAATTCCAGCGTTGTGGCTGACATTCTATTATGCAGCGTTTCAATGCGACTTAAAGCATCTAGGAGTCTGAAATTTGAAATGCTTATATTAAGTAGGGCAGTGACGCCGTCGTTATTGTCGAGCAATCGTTCTCTTTTCTGCGAGCAATCGTATGCACGCGACAATTTCTCGAATTCTATCATAACAAGAATGTTTATGCCACGATTATTTAGACTACCACTTGATACATTTTTGGCCTGGCGTTACGGTTACTATCGAGATTTCCATGCCAATCAGATTAAAGTGTATATTTTTAAGAAATCAACTTTTCACTCTCCTTACTTCGCCATTGTGTGGTTGTAATCATTACCAAAAGTCATAAATTTGGGGCGCTAAATTCATAACTTCTGGCTTCATCTACGCTATTCATTTAATTTCCTTTCGTCACATTTAAACCCATTCAACCTCCTTGAATTTATTCGCTATATTTTATTAATTGCTCCACTTTCAGGTGACCAATTGATAAACCACCAGGAAAAGCCATTTTTCACGATTAATTGCGTTAAACTCCTAGCGTAGCATACGATGGGTAAATAGATGATTTTCATTAAGATAAAGGCTTCACTGTTGCATTAACGAAGATAGAGAGAGTGGGGTGGGAGGGGGTTATTTCTCTGGAATTTTAAAGGAAATTGCAAAGTAGGGGCTTTATTTTCGATATGGGGTGTACGATAGACTTACCTACACGTGGTGCACCCCGGGCAACGTATACTCATACGTCAAAAAAGTCCATTAACCGGCGGTTGACTTCAGACTCCAAACTACCATCACCCCACTGCATGTCAAATTCGACTACTTCAACCGTACTCACCTCACATTTTTTCCAAATTTGTGTCTGTCTCTTTTACATCTTTGAA